GTATGTATGTATATATGTGTGTATATATATGTATATATATGTATATATAAATATATATATATATATATACAAAATCCTTTGTGCACTAGTCAAGTAGATGTGGCAGAACATCTAGCCTAGTTCCTCAATAGTAAACGAAATATACATCTACAGTACAACAACCAACAACAACACTAAAATAGTCTATTTTTACCACTTTTAAAATGGAGGGTCTCACTTCCATCTTAAAAAGCGGTTTGTGATTATTTAGAAATCGTTTAGAATTGTCTTAATGTAAGGACTGTCGATATTCAAGGGGGTCTGGAATATTATATATAGTTTTAAAACTTAGATGTTTTATTTAGTTTAAAAGAGGGGTTTGGAAATTTATAAAACGGTTAAACCCAGTTACTGGCCTGTTGACCCTGAATATTAGGACTTTTAACAGATAAGTGTTTTTAGGAGTACTTTACTCCTTTAACGTTCGGGTGCCACTTCCGGGAAGAGGGGTATTTCCCCCCGCTCGCCGGATGTAGTACTTTTATCCGAGAATGCTTGGCATTTTTCGTATATAAGGACGCACATTATGGTCATAATATTCATCCTTAAACCTTTGTACATTATATGTACTACAAGCGAGGACCAACTATAACCCCTCATTTACAACTTCACGAAGAAGATGGCCGATGATAGACAAAAGATCAAGAACAGAACGACGACGACTTAATTTTTTATAGAGATTGAACGAAGGCGGCAGGGTATTTCGTTCCAGGCTCTGAAGAAACCAGCGTATATCAGCTGGAATCACCCTTAAGCGACGTCTCCTCGTAAAGTCATCTCCGCCAGATCCAGCGGTGTGTATCCCCAGACACTGGAGACGGTTGGTCGATAGGTGAACCACGAAACCTTGCCAACCGATTGTGGTGTCAAGATACTGCGTTCCCTCTTGGCCTAGAACAGACTGATATAGAGATCCCTGCATTCTATAATTCTCAAGCCCCGCCAATTCATGAGGAACTAAAAATCTCCTGACTTGGGCCAACTTTATCGCATTGACATTTAAACAAGTAGATCACAACGGTCTGAGCCTGAGCAAGTAGAACCAGGCTCCGCGTGGGACACTCTTTGAAATACTAGATGACCTCGTCACCGTTTTACAATTAAAAAAAACTCGTGTCACACAGTCATCTGCGGAGGCAGCATACATTAGTAATAAGACTCGCTCACAAAAGGCATATACCCCTGAAGCGTTCAAGCACTTGCAGGAAGCAAACAAGAAAGAACACGAATTGGCATTGGCCAAAGCATATCGTCCTCCCACGCCACCGAACCCCTAGAAAACGATGGTGGATCCAAAGTAGACAGCCGACCTTAAAACCATAAAATAATTCAGCCGCTGTACCTATCTGTCCGATCCAAGGCGAAAACATGGAGGAAGCACCAGGCCAGCAAACGGCTACTACAAAAAATCAAGTATGGGGTTCGACCCACATGGAACGAATTAGGACCTCCAGCGAATAATCTGACAGGCTCATGGATATCGAACCCGGAAGTAACGGATTTGATGAGCCAGACCGAACTAAACAGATTAGCATCGCAAGAGGTAATTTGGAAATATCACGAATCAGAGGCGTACTCGATTCATCGCGCCTTCATGGTCCTGAAATCGGACGGCATTCGCGCCTGCCTGATTCTCGACCCCAAAGCTATCAACTTGCACGCAGAGAAGTCCAGGTTCCGAGCAGAAGGATTGGACAAGCTTCATCAAGTAGCTCGTCGGAGGGATCTAGCGATGAGTACAGACTTTCAAGACGGTTTTTACGTACTCACCGTCGCCGAACCCAAACTATGGCAATTCCGAGATCACTCGGGACAGCTATGGTGCTTCATGGCACTTCCAATGGGGTGCACAAATTCCCCACAGTGCTTCAACGACTTGATGAATGCATTCCGTCGAATCTGCCAAAAACGACACATAAGAATAGTGCTCTACGCCGGCGATCTTCTGCTTCTAGGCTCTCGACGCAGAATAATACATCATCGCAACTATATCCAGCTAGTCATGGATTCCCTTGGGCTGCGGCTAGCGAAAGGCAAGGGCCATTGGCTGATGCCTGTGACCCGGTTGACCCACCTTGGGTTAATTATCGACCTCCGCGCGAAAATGTTCGAACTAACCCCTGCTTTCAGAGAGAAAATCAACTCTCTTACGGCGGCAATAGTTAGCAAGTGCAATACGCAACCAACACCGAATACGAACCAAACTGTGGCAATCCTACCTCGGTTGCCTTCAGTGGGCGAATCTCGCAATTTTAAATCTGAGACCCTTTCTAGCCGATCAACAGCGATCCACAGATTAGAGCAAATCAACTAAGCTTCGACTCTCTGGAGCACAATTGAGGAAACTAGAAAAACAATACTCTTCTGGTGGAGCTCTTCTATCCCCGATCAATATGGTTACCGCAAGTCAGTACGGGATTGACCTCGGATGCCAGCAAAATAGGGTATAGAGCAACACTCCACTTCAACAACACGACCCACACATTTTCCTGGAAATGGAGTCCTCGCGAAGCTCTCTGGCCAATTTCAGTTTTGGAACTGAAAGCACTAGTGGTAGGCTTAGAATACTTCTACGCCCAGCAGTTGATCACCAGCCGGACGCACCTCCTGATGCTCACCGACGGACAGGCATTACAATTTCGCAGGTAAAAATACTCGAGATTTTCTTGAAAAATACATTTTGCTTACTGAATCGGTGTGGTCTGTGGCGTGGATGCTGGGGGACAGCTCCCTTCTGCGTTGTGGCATACTAGTTTGACTTTGGGATGTGGCCTGAGAGGCTGAGACTCGGAGACTGTGAGGCTAAGATTTTCTCTTGGCTGCTATCCTTAGCATGGTTGCTTTTAAAGAAAAGGTTAGATTTTTGATCGAATTGACCAACGAAATTCGTGTAGTGATAAATTCTATCCATTGAGGACAAAAATTCAGGCTCCAGTGGTAAAAAAATCTATACAAATTGTCACAGGTATGCAACTTTTACGATATCACGCATAAAAGTTAAAAAGAACCAGTAAGTTACTAATATTATGTGAATACAAATTGTCTGCGGGATCCAACTTTAACTTCAGAGTATTTTATGTCAAAACACAGTCGCACAAGGAAATACTTGGGTGTCTATCGATAGGAACAATTATATGAACAAATACATAGTTATATATTGCGTGTACATTATTTATAATTTCATTTTTACATATAATACAAACAGTTTGTACACACTCTTTTTACAAGGTACGTTATATCTGTATATTTTGCAGTCAGAGATAGAAGCACAAAGCATTTGACACCTGCTTACCTTCAAATACTTACCTTTATTATAAATTGAACTATATTGATACTGACATCCGAGTCATTAGTCTGTCGTGTATGTCGGTAAACTTCTCTCGGCTGAGTGGCTTCGTGAAGAAATCACTGAGTAGCTGTTCTGATGGTATATATTTTAGCTTGATGGTGTTGTTCGATGTGTGTTCCCTGGTGTGATGATACCGTAGATCGACATGTTTTGTACGGCGGGATTTCGTGATACCATTTCCCATCAGTATTGCTGACTTGTTGTCCTGTTCTATGGTGGTGGGTTGGTATCGTAGCTGACCCACTAGTGTCTTGTTGTATTGTGTGATTGTTGGGACATCTGAGCTGGCCGCCTTTTCCGGGAGATATGCATGTTTGTCTGTTACTTCCTAGTCCGATTCTAGAATTGGCACTCATGTAGGTTTACAATCTATCAAACCCCATTCCTGCAGTATTTCTCTTAGGTATTTGAGAGACTACAGATCTCAAGCAAGTTTCAATAGCAAGAAAACTCTTTTTCTTGAATGAAATTACAAGAGTTGCGTCACTCCGAAAAGCGGATCAAATTATTAACCACATCATGTTAATAATACATTTGCTCCTATGAGAGCATTGCTCCGAAAGCCGATACCTAGGAGAGAATTGCTCTGAAAGCCAAGTAAAATTAATTGAGCGACGGCGTAAGAGCGAGTAGCAGAGATTATGCTATAGAACAATATCTAAGTGTTAAAGTGTTCTGCAAAAGGTTTCTCATACTGACCATATGAGTTTTCACCCTGGCCAACCCAAGCGGTTGAACACTAGCACAAACACCTTGAGTATAAAACCAAAGGTGAGGTTGTAAATAAAGATATACAATTACGCTTTATTCAAAGACTACCATCTTACACTCTAACAACTTATCAGGTCACTCCGCTCTTACGCTACCAAAATGCCTACTGTCAACTCTAAGGATATCAAAACCACCATCATTCTCGAGTCGAAGGTCGACTGGCTTCCCTGGAAAACTCAAACCATCCTATCTGTGAACTGCGAAGGAATCTCTGATATCCTGACCAACCCGACAGCTCCTCGAGGCAGCCGTTGGACTTGTAAGCAAGTTGCTGAAGCATATCGGATCATCAACCGTACCCTGTCTCCGCTACTGCAAACGGAAATCAGCCAATTCAGCGAGTCCCCTTGGGATGCATTTGCTGCACTGCAACAAAAGTTTGAAGCTCTGACTGAAGATGATCTCCAAGACTTGGAAGCAAAACTGAATCGCATCACGCAGGAACGGAACGAGCCGTACGCTACTCTCATTAGTCGTCTCAACACGTCCTTGGTGAAATTCAAGAATGCCGGACGTGTGAAATCCGATAACAGTCTCTGCGCTATCTTACCTCAAGCTGTGCACGACGACAATCAGACGGTGAAGATCACGTTGAAAACACCAGCAATGATGGCTATGTCGTACGGTGACCTTACTTCGTATCTCACAGCATTGGATCCAGACGAAAGTGACCCATCGACTATCGTGCACGGGGCACATTCAGCCATTTCATCAGATAATTGCGCATTCTGTAATAACAGAGGTCATTCCATAATCTTACACTTTAACAGTATTGTCGTTGATGGAGACGTACTCTTCCAGGGTATATTTCCACTTGACACTTGCGAAACCATAACGGTAGGCCCTTATCAACAGTGTTCCATTCGCCTTTCATTGCGTCAGCTAGTTTCTGTCCGTCGGTCTTACTCTGGCATGCTGCAATTTTGTCATTTACGTGTACAATAATGAAACAAGGTCCACTGTGTGTTTGTTTGATGAGCCGTGCTCCATCCGATTGTGCTTATTTATAACTGTGTTGTGTAGCAAACCAATGCATAGCTTTAAACCAGTAGTCTATCTAATCTCGCGCAACAGACTCATTGCTTGACTTTTCCTGATTCTGTTTGGCGACACCACCTACAAGGCTTCAAGCATATAGCCTCTTCAGGATACAACAAAAAGATCTTGAGCCTTATGCACGTACCGAGGCCGAATGGATTCACTTGGTTTATCAGACGCCCTGGATAGCCCCCGCGTGGAAAGCTATCATCATATTCTACTGGACAATCGGCGCTCGATATGACTCGATCTATTGGATTGATAGTCATCGTGATCTTGCCTTCATGGATTCGACCTATACTATTACGGTCAAACTCATCAAGCGCAAAAGAGGCCCGCGATCCAAGGTGCCTGATCGCTGCCAATGTGCATACCCTAAGAAAACATACGCCCTACTGCAACGCGAACTCCCAGGCAACCGCATGCACGAGCAGGTTTGTCAATTGCAATGTCGTGACAAATCAATTGACCTCTTACGCGCAGAATTTAAACGCCCGGGCTTAGAGGAGAACCTCCTTACTGCAATCAAATGGCATGGTTTTAGACGTGGGGTTGTCCAGTCGTGTTGCAGTCTGAATGCGCCGGAATCCACAATTGCTGATATTTTGTGCGTCCAGCAACCATCGTTGAGATCATACATATCTTTCCGACCACCAAACTCTGCCGATGTCCTCTTCAATGGCAAATTGTTGCCGTGTTTTCCGGTCATGCCTGTCGGCGATTAGAGGACTTATATATTACTTCAAGGATGTGCACCTACGGTACTTGTGGAAACAACGAATGTTTTTTAGGAGTACTTTACTCCTTTACCATTCGGGTACCACTTCCGGGAAGAGGGGTGCTTCACCCCGCTCCCCGGATGTATTACTTTCATACGAGAATGCTTGGCATTCTTTGTATATATGGACGCATATTATGGTCATAATGTTCATCCTTTTTGCTTTGTACACCCATAACTCTCCCACCCTTTCTCTTTTCATCCTTATTCCTTTCACAGTATATTCTGATCAACCAAGCGGACTAGTACAGAGCTTTCGTTTCGTACTTTCCCCGTGCCTCGCAGGCTATTGCCCCTGAAACGTGATTTGCGTCTGCACCATGAGGATTACGTGTATGACCGTTGCCAAGTGTTGGAAAAAAGCCCTAGGTCATCCTAAGCTTGGGTTGTCGTCGTATAACCCATTGGAGCCTGTGTCTATCCTAAGCTTCGGTTGTCAGTCGCGTAACCCATTGTACATACATTTAGTTGGTTCAAAATAAAACTATAAACAACGAATGTTAGATAACGACTATATAGGCTATAACACTATAGCAAGATAGGGTAAGAATATATAACTAAATCAATCTTAATGAATATGTCTGTCTTAATCTTAGTTAATATATTTACCTATCTTAATGAATATATCGTATAGCAATTAATACAGAGTGGACTTATTTTCATATCATACTTATCTTATTATACTATCATAATATTATTTCAATATATATTGTTTTTTTGTAAATGATATATAGATTAACGATATTTTATTAATTAGATATAAACAGTTATAATAGTTCAGAGATGTTGTGAACAATTTATAGGGGGTATAAACTATAATTACTATCAACGAATATGTTGGGATTACGTTAGTTTTTGTTGGTTTTGTTAGAATGTTCCAAACTTTTTCTACAAAAAATTTATCGCTTTTTTAACAACAAATTTAACCCACATTAACAGGATTAAACCGTTTTTTTTAACTTTTAACATGAAAAATTTAACCCACAATAAGGGGGTTAAACCTAATATACTTTCGTATATATATATATATATATATATATATATATATATATATATATATATATATATATATATATATATATATATATATATATATATATATATATATATATATA